AGGGGGGATCTTACTCCTACCAACTGACGCGTTTTAAAGCCGTGAGGGGCAACCCAAAGCGGACAATATCGTTGGTCGGTTCCCTGGTTGCGATCCAACATGGACCATTGAAATACCCAAAGAAAAATCGTCGAACTACATGATGTGGATGCGTTGAGATGCTATGATAAAAGGATGGCTCACCACAACGATGGAAATAGACATCAGAACCAATGTCAAGTATGCAAACACGGTAGCAGAGATCTGGGCAGATCTTCAGACGAGATTTGGAAAAGGAAGTGCTTCAAGAGCAATAGTCAAATCAATCCTTCACAGTCACGCAACAGGATGGAGCCTTTATCTCCGCCTACTTGTTAGTCCCAGACGGATCTACAAGAGTTTCGAGGTAATAGTTTGTACAAGGGGGGGATGAATACAAACACAATAGCTTTCACTTTTTAAAATCATTTATTGATAAAAAAGATCAATAAAGAATTTACAAACTGTTTGCAAAATAAGATAAAATACAAAAATTATCTAACACAATCCAGGGAACACACAAAATACAGAAAATAAGAAAGAAAAAACTTGCTAAATAAAGAAACAATAACTTTGCTAGAGGAAGAGCCTAGTTGGTGTTCTTCACTTGAAGTAAAGATAACTTCGAAAGATTAAGAAGATTGTGCTTGTGAGGAAGTCCTTTCTTGGGTAGAAAGTTGATCTTAAAGATATAAGCTTCTTGGCTTAGTGTTGCGGAGAAGGAGGAACTTTTCAGCTATTTATACCTACTGCATTAAATGCAAGTAAGACAGTACAAGGCATGTGGCAGGTTTCTAGAGGTGAGCTTGTCCTTTGTTTTTAGATATACAGGCTTTTGCCGTATATGAACAGTAGTCTTTCATAAAGTAAGTAAGCACATTTGGAGACAATAGAGTGACTTTATACGAGTGCTTTACTTTAAGAAGTATGAGTTTGTCCTTTATGTGTAGAAGGATAAGACAAAAACTAATCTTGGTCAACAAGATTCATTTGATCGCTGACACTAGAATAACACTAGGGTTTCTTCAGTGTATGCCAAATTTTGAGTAGACTTCACACATTTGTAGACAGACTTGTTATCACTAAAACTGCATCAGATCAAGAACTGCTTGTCTCTGTCTTCAGCTTTATCTTCGACATCACTGAAAAGTTCTTGTGTTGTGAATTTTGTCTTCTTCAATAATAATTGTCTCTGGGAGATACAATACTTGTTCAGCGATCATTGACACTTAGTGATGATCGGTGAAACTAAATAAAGAGAAAGTACTTTTCATAAGATAAAAAAGATCATCATCAAATCACTGAGAGAGAGATGATCAACAATCTCCCCGTATTTGATGATGACAAAGCAACATAAAAAAAATTGCTTAGGTATTACATTAAGGAAAAGGTGCTAGTAAAATACATGTTCTTTTTAACTGTTTTTGGGATCTTTTTCAGTGATAGAGTTTATTATGAAAATTTACTTTAATTGAAAAGAATTACAAAGAAAGAATAAACTTACATAATATGAATAACTAAAACTGAGAGCACATTTATTGACAAGAAAGGTGTCAGAGAATGTAAGAAATAAATAGAACACATAAGTACATGTCTTATGTACTTTTTTGAGGGAACTTTTTCAGTGAATCAGTCATTTTATTGATAATATCTTTAAAGACAAAATATTACAAATGATTACAATTAGTTTTGGTGGGCTTAAAACATAAAATCTATACATTGAAAGAAAAGATAAAAGATATACAAGGTTTTACAAGATTGAAAGGTTTTCTAATCTAGATTATCGATGTTGATATAGTCAAGGACATCTTCTCCTTGAATATTTCTTCTGAGCAATTCCTTTCGAATATTACGGTCCATCATCTCTCTACAGATATCTTCGTTCAACTAAGTTCGTAGATATTCTAGGTGATCTATTGGGCAGAGATGGAACTCAGACACTCGTTGAAACCTGTATTGACTATCATAATCATTGAACATAAGTCCATATTCTAGTTTCAAATGCACTGCATTGGAAATAAAGGGTCCCTTTTAGGAAGTGATAGATTCAACATTGAGATATCTGGCTTTTTCCTATTCTTAAGGAGCTCATCTACTAAAAATTTTATTTCATGCTCGCTTTTATGGGATGAACTTTCTCCATGAGCAAAAATTTTTCTTCTTCAAAAGGACTTCTCTGGCAGAAGAGGAACCTCGACGATCTTCGACACTTTGTTGAATAGTTCATTTAGAACTTCTTCAATATAAGCCTTATGCTTAGATTTGGACTTTTGAATTTCTTGTCGAATCTCGAGCCATTCATAGAAACCATACTGACTGGGAAAGGAAGGATACTCAGTGACAACATTGTTGTTCTCTTGGAAGATGAACATAGAAACCAGAAGGCCACCATCTTTCATCCGTTCACAGATTGTGACGTTTGAAATTTTGTAAGGGCTCATTCTTGTTTTGATCCTTTTTATGCACCAATTTAGATCTTGATTCTTCAGCTTCAGCACCCTTTGTCTTTTCTGTTCAGCTTCTTCTAAAAGTAGGGATTAAGCACTGAGAGGATCTTTTTGCTTGAACATCCCTTCTGAAAGAGCTTGATCAGCTAGAGTCTTGGCTAAATCTAGGTTGTCTTTTAGTTGCTGTTGATGTTTCTTTAGCTCTTGTTTACCTTTTAGGGATTCCTCGTGTTCAGCTTTAGAGAGGAAGTTGAAGTCACCACATTCAGAGGTACACAGAGGAATTTTTACTCTGGATTGGTCAAGTTGACTTATAAGCTGAGACATCCTCAAATATTCTTCAACCACTGAGCACACAGGTTGTCTTGACTACTTCATGGGAATGAGGTTGCGGGCTTCGTCTTCACCTTCATCATCCTCAAGGGTTTCAAAATAAAGAATATAGGTTGAGAGATTGAGGGTAGGTGTTGCAGAGAGAGATGGAGGTAGAGAATAAGAAAGTTTAGCTTCAGAGGTGGAGGGTACAAATGTTGTTGAAGTGTTTGCATCCTCATATTGGCTGAGTGCCACAAAAAGTAAGGGAAGGTAATCTTCAGCAAATCCTTTCCCTTTTCTAGAGTAGGAGTGTTGGTATGAGGATCTCCCCCTGGAAGTAGGTTCCCTTAAGGAGATATCTTTAGCAGGCTATCTTGGTATGACTTAGACGGATAAATCGTCATCATCATCATCGTCGTTGTCATCAACACCACGAAGGTCAGCACCTGCATCTGGGATTCGGGGCTCAGGATCCTCGTCCTCATCATCATCTTCATCCTCCTCATCTTCAACAACATTTGTAAAAGCAGAGGTGGAAGGAGGATGGTCTTTATGAAGTAATATGATAATGAGTAGCATACGTAGGGATTCATATAGAGATATCGAATCTGCATATGGTTACAAAATAGAGATTTTGTGTATCGGACATGACTCGTTATGAGAACACTTCATTGGATGTCATGTTAGTGTCATAAGTGTTTCTCATATGGTCAATGTACATGTAATTCTTTGACTTGAGAACATGGAGTTTGTTATATGTGAGTAATATATTTTGACATTTATTCTAATCATTCCGTAACTGGGTGACAAAATGATAGTTGGGTATGTTGTATATCACATGATTAAATTAGCATGTATCGAGATAGGATTTGTCCCTCCTTTATGACAGAGTGATGTCTCTAGGCCCCTTGATAAATATAATAAAGAAATACATGCATGCTTAGATAATTGATATGAGATATCATTATTTATTTTTTTATTAGTATATTAGGCAATCAATAAACTAGAGATTGGACATAACGAGAATGACAAATTCAATGTCTCGTGTTCAATCTGGACATCAAGGAGAAAAGAATTAAATGTGTAAAACTAAAATTGACTACAAACCGATAATTTGTTGTATCACCAATTCTCGTCATTTGGGTAACGGTGATGTATTTCTAGATACCACTCATCGTTTAAAACTATAAATATGAGATTTATATTTATTACCAACATGTCGAGAACCCATTGGGTCACACGCTTTGAACATATTCAAATAAGGAGTTTCAATAATTAAAATGTTTAATTATCATATCTGATTTGTATCGATTTAATCTGATTGAATAAAATCATATATTATTTATGTTGGACATAAATAAAGATGACTAGGGATGGGCTTTGTAAGAGAGTGATGGTGTATGAAAGTGTTACATTCAAGTATGGTAGAGGCATGGTGATGGTTAGGCCATACCTCTCACATCCATATAAAATGTATGACATTTTTATGCTAGTATCTTTGGTCTTGCAATTCTCTCTCAAAATCACCTACAACAATATGCTCCTTTTTCTTTCTAAGGTTTGAAACCATGACTAGCATCACGAGAAGGCGAAGGATTCGGATTGTTCGCATGGATACCGTGGAGGCATCAAGATTTGTTTGTTGTTGTGATTCAAAGTTTTGCTAACTGCGAGGTATAATTTCGAAACATCCGATTTATTCTGGTTCGTATGGGCCCTTGGAGGGTTACGGTTTTATTTTTCGCTATGCTTGAGGTCCCGTAACCCAACAATTCATGGTCAGATATCACTACGACATCATCGTTCTTGGTATTCTTCCTCTCTTTGTCTTCATCAACGAAGAGAGGGATGCGAGAAACTAGGTTATGCAACGATTGTTCCATGGAGGCAACAGCTTCTGCCTGTCGAAGGTTGAGCTCAGCAACCATGTCTAGCTGATGACGATCGGCTTCTCTGAAGGAGTATTCAGGGAAAGGTGGTAGTTGTTGTAGAAACTGGAAAATCCGTTCAAGTAACTCACCATGCTTTATAAGCTGAGCTTGAACATCCTCAGCCTTGTTAGAGAGAGTAGCGATAGCGTCCGAGTTGTGTTGGATCCTCATCTTCATGGAGTTCAGCTCGCTTTTGACATCACAAACCTCATCTTGGACAATAGAGAGGTCGTAAGCCAAGTCATCCTTCAAGGGCATTCCCTGTTGAACTTCATTCATCTTGTCAAGGACGGTCGCAACAACAAGGAGAAACAACTTGACATCCCCAACCATATCATAGGCGTTAGTCTCAGTGATTGGGGGTTCAGTCTCCATAGAATGTGTAGAGAAAGAAGAACATTGAGTGATGTTCCCAAAATCATACAAATCAGATTAATCATCCAAGAACACAATCAAGATGAGTAGAGAGAGATTTTCACCAAAGTTGAATATTGTATTTCTTGAGAGAATTTCTACAAATGATTAACCAAGAACTAATCTGAATTGAACTGAACTAATTACAATTAGCAAGCTAAAGACTATTTATACTAAGAAAATAACAAAGGCTAACTATTACAAAGCAAATACAATGGGTGGGAGAACTTGAATACAACAATAAAGCACATTCTTGAACCCAACAATCTCCCCCTTTGGATTCAAGGTCAAGACATTGTAAGTGTCTTTAGCGTCCTTAGTGCACTCCGATACTGCAATTTATCATCAAGCAGGTTCAAAGCATTGATCAACAGATACCTCTCCTTCGGACTCATTCACTCCGATTCCGCAGCTCTATCGTTGTCAGCTTTTCTCGAATCAAGCGCCCGTCGAACCAACCTTATAGTGCCATCACAGTATTTATTCAGCTCACTAAATCTCATAAACTTCTTTATCCGACCATCAGCACTATACACCACCCCGAACTCCGCTTCTTCAAGAATAATATACAGAGGATAACCTTCAATATCTTCAAGCTCTTGATCTGGTCTTTTCAAATTAATGACTATTTGATTGTCTTCAAGAACCATATGGATATCAAGAACCATTGATACTTTGGCATGACTTCGTATAAATCTCTTGATAGCATTAAGACCAACAAGTGCTCCATCTCTTTTGACCGTCATATTTCGTAATTCGTGGTACATGTGCTCCAAGTTTTCTAAATACAGATTAGAAAAATCATCTTCGCTAAATACCCAGACCTTTCCATCTTGTCGTGTAATAGTGAATACATGATACCAAACTCTAAGGAGTCTTTGGGCATCAATTTGTTTAATGGAGACGACTCGATGTTTGGTCCGTACTTGGCTGACCGGGAGACGCTTTGCCTTGAGAAAATGTTTGTACTCTAAACGATAATCTCGGGTTTCTTTATGAATCCCAAGAATCTTGTCAACGCTGAGAGCTTTGCAGTGCCGGAGGAAGATACCGAAGTAAACGTGTTCCAGATAGGGTTTTCTGATCCTTGCTCTATCATAACCTGGAACGTTAGCATGAATTACAAACGACACATAGTTTTTAGAAAATATCTCAGTAGGATCATACGCCGCTCTCGGATTCAGATGCACCAAAATCAACTGCAGTGGAGGGTTCAGGCGGAGTCTGATGATCACCTTGGAATGGGAAGATAGGATCTTCTTCATTGATATCGGCTTCAATGTCAAAATACATTTCGGATGATTCATCAATATTGACGACGTCTTCACCAAAATCCTAATCTCCACCCAGTTCTTTAGCAAACGCTTCATTGAATCCCACGTTGGCAGACAAATCCAGAAGCAACCTTGTTCCTACAGTGGAGCCCGTCGGCTTTTCAACCATTGGCTCGATCACTGGATTTGTCTCCAAAACTGTCTCATCTTCAACTATTATTAAGCATGTAGTCGTTTCCATTGTTGTTTCCGGATCAGGACTTTCAACGTTAACCGCTTGAGAAGTTGACTCCCTTTCAACACTTTGAACACAAGAAGACGACTTAACCAGCCTCTGTCTCTTTCTCTCCCCCTCATGATGATCAGGATCGTCCGGATCATCATGTCTTCTTTTTAACGAGGTGGCCTAAGCTCGGCACGTGTCTTCTAAGATAGATACCCTTTCAGATAAGGCATCGATAGAACTCTTCAGGGCTTGAGTGTTTGATGTAATTAACTTGCTAACTTTTGAGAAGTTAGAAGCAACTACATCTTGAAAGGCCAAAAACTATGAGGCTCTAACAGGTGGGTTATCATCAACAAGTTGGCGGAGGAGCCCAACCAGGTCTGCATCAGCCGCACTTGGATTTTGAGTTGACATCAGCTTTGCGTACAACATATATTTAAGCTCATCCACCTCTTGATCTTGTACCCTCGAAGGCTCGGGCACAGGCGGTGGTGACGGCACAGACGGTTGATCATCGACTACCGGCTCCTTCCCTTTCAACATCCTTTTGAGACTAAGTATCTACGCTTCCATGTTATCTTGAACAACCTTTAGGGCACCGTCCAGATATTCCCTTGACACAAAGTCGGGTAAAGTCACACCTGGATCACATAGATTGCCAGTTGAATAAACTGTTGTGTCTACGTTCAGTGTTGGCGTGATGTTAGCACTGGTAGGACTTTCGACCTGTCCTCATGGTAAGTCAATAGACTCCACTCAGGTCGTTCCGGCAGGTTCGCTAAGAACCGTAATTGGAGCAACAGATGCTCTTGACTCTTGTGTACCTATGTGTATGGGCTCTATACTCGAGGTGCACAGAATCGAAGTCGTAGGCTGCGGCATAGGCCTACTAATTTCAATATCTACATTCTCCGAATGAGAAGTAGATAGAGTATGTGATAAATCCCTGTGAAGAATTGAAACAACTGGTTATTGAGAACGAGTTGAGTGGTCAGGATGGGTATGCAACTGCATATCTGAGCTAGCTATGTCTGCTTCAATACCAACATTCAACAAATGAATGTCGATAGTAGATGTGGGTGCCCGACTAACTCTTTCGACTGGGATAGGAACTTGTTCTTCAATTTGTGCTCCACTCTCACACTCCCCATCTTTTTCTCCGTCCCTTACACTCATATTCTTAACATTTTCTACTTGAACTCCCTCATCACCTTCAAGTGGAACATCCTCCAGTAAATGATCAAATTCATCATATGTGCCACCAAATTCATCAACATTAAAGGATATTGATTGTAGACTTGGGCAAGTCTGTGTAGCTTCTATTTCTGGAAAGATATCTTCAATGTTATCAATAACTGCTCCAACTTGAATATTCTATGAATGAATAGGTTGAGCAACATTGTCAGCACCATCATCATTATCATTATCATCGTCATCAATAGTTACTTCACCCTGAGTTGCCTCATTATCGGATATAGTATCTTCCGAACTTGAAGAAGTTGTGGAAGTACTTTTTGTTGAAGTACTGTGCTGATCAGGGCTCCCCGCTCCACAGTACCCTTCTCATTTTCATTTTCCCTTTTGCTTACAACCCTGTTCAGGTAACCCTTGTTCCTGAACGCTCTCAGCTAAAGCTAGACCCTCTTCCTCAGCTAAGGCATGGGTTGATTACGGGGTAAGTTCAACCGGTTTTGGTTGAGCTATATGATCTATCACTCTCCTATAGTCTATAACACACTGATCCCTCTGATCAGCGAAGGCAAAAAGCTCCTGTGGGATTTCCATTATAGAATCAAGATCTTCAACTTTTGCGTGTTGCCGAATACGCGTCATGACAAACGATGGCCCAACTTCACTATTTGCCCTGGCCGAGATGTCATCGTTAGCGTTCATCATGGCTTTTATTATCAGTTGCAAGAATCTTTGAAACGACACAAACTTCCTTGCTTTGGACGGGAAACGTTTGGCGTTGACCAGCTCGACGAATTCATTCCATATAACCAGCACGTAATCATACTTGCGCGTGTATACAATTCCATGGAAGAATTTGAGAAATGAACTGCTGCAGGTATCGATTTCGGCAGTCTTTGATGTCAGGCATCGGTTGAGGATCGAAAATAAAAGATGCCATATTGACGGAAGAAAACGCCGTTTGAACTGCGACGGATTAGTCAACTCTTGCGAGTATCCTAATCTTTTGATATCTCTGCAAAGTTTGTCATCGGTGACTAGTGGTTCAAAACCTGTCGAGCCCGGTCCTGGTAGACGCAATATTCTTCAGATTCGTTTTAAAGGCAAACGACTTACATATTCCTCTACGCTTCCTTCAAAGAAATATGTGTCACCATCTTTGGCAAGAGTTACCGTGTTCCAAAATTGTTGTAGGTAAATCATCGGGACAGAAATATTGGCTAAAAGGGCATAGAAAATGGGATGTCCACGAAGTATTTATGTTATTCGGAGGGTATTTCGAAGTTGAAAGAATGATTATTAGTTTGATCTCAAGATAAAGGTTTTGTGGTAGTAAGGTTTCTTGGAATTGGATTATTTAATGGCTGGGGTGGATTGTTTATATTGTAACAACCCTCACATCCCAACTACATATAATTCACATCATCATWCTCATAATACTAAAATAGTATTATTACAAAACATGAACTATCAAAATGTATCTTTAATACATATGCATAATAAACTATTATCAATATTTAGAATTTTCCCTTGCCTTTATCTTTCTGAGCACGTTGTCCTGCAAAACAGGTTAATCCAATATCTGAGCGTTAGACCAAAAGGTCTAGTGAGTATATAATCTCATACAACAATATATATATATTCCAAACATTCAGTTTAGAATCAAACCTGTTCCAAAACATATCATATTTATGTTTCTCGCGGTTACACCGCCATCATATCACTCTCGCGGTTACACCGCCATTATATCACTCTCGCGGTTACACCGCCATCTCACTCGCAGTT